AAGTCTTAATAAATATATTGGTACCACACTATGAGCGGTGGATGCCGGTTCGGTCAGAGTCAACAAAATTGGCTGATGGCGATGGGCTCGTTTTCTGAATCTCACTGATGGGAGTAATTCAAAATTCACCTTGGTTCGTACAATGGATTTACATCACCGTCAGGATAAGGCCACGTGTCCGTGTTGTAGAAGTTAAAGGACCGGCCCTTTTTACAGTTTGACTTCCTCATGTGTCCGAACTCCGAACTCTGCAGTTTGGCTATTTCTTGTCGTTTTGGACCTATTATCAAAATAATAACAACTGAGGAAAGAAAGAATGGGGCTTCGTTTCTGATTGTAAAAGCTGTACATCAAATTATTATTATTATTATTATTATTTTTTGAAAAATCTTTTGGCTTTTTACTCCATGCAGAATAGCCGGAGAAAGAAGAATGGCGTTTGAGTTTGTGTTGTGTGTCCTTATGACTAAACAGAAAAAAAAAAAAAATTGTGTCGGTGAACCAAGATTTGAGATTGCCGGTTATAAATATTTATTAGATTTTTTTTTATAATCTAATAAAAATATTTATTAGATTATAAATAAAAATAATAAATTATTAATAAACTATTAAAATTATTTATTTTGTTAACTTCTTCATATTTAAAAGTAATATGAGTGAACAAAGAAAAACTCTAATAACATTTATTTCTTTATTTATAATATCTGATTCAAGATATTAATTAAGAGAAATTAAATATTTTTTTCACTCGAATAAATAAATCATTAATAAACTACTAAAATTATTAACTATTAATTGCTGTCATTCTTTACATTTGAATTATTAATTCAAATATTCTTTAATTTCTTTAAATATACTAAAATAATATAAAATAAATTATTAGAATTATTTTTAAAAATATATAAATAAATTAATCTGAAAACACTTTATAGCTTATCCTCAAGACAACAAAGGTACTTTGATTGTCCTCATTGTTGGGCAAATGGAAGGTCCATTTATTTCTGATTCTTTGCCGGGCTTGTTGCTTTGTTGCAAGTGGACTCAAACTAGGCCCAGACCCAGATCTTTTCGATTTATGTAAATAAAAAATCGAAATTAAAAAAAAAAAAAATCTTCGTTTTTCAGTTAGTTAAAGGGGGCCCGCCAAACTCCCTGCGGCGCGCCGGCGCCACTTCCGGAATTCCACTGCCGCCACAAGGAAGATACAAAATCTTTATTAATGGCGTCTTCGTCTTCAATCTCCTCTGGAAGCGTTTCTATTCGAACAATGAAAACCCTGAAAGCACGAAATGGAACTTCTTATTCCTGGGTTTGGTGGGGGGTAGTTGTTGCAGAGAAATTTTTTTCTTTTTTTCTTATTCTAGAAGATTAGTTTCTTAAAATCTTGTTGAGTTTTCAAATATGACTTTGATTGCACTCCTATACGTTTATCCATCACTGTCAGCTAGCATTTCTTAACTTCAGTTTCAATTCATGTTTGTCATCTGATGTTCTTATTTTATTCAACACTTTTTCACATTCTCTTTATTAACAAGCTGGTGCTACCAAACTCCAAGCTTTTAGCTAATTTGGTTGAATCTGTTGGTGGGTCTTTGTTAGATACGATAGATGGATAGAGAGAAGGTGCATTAATGGAGAAAGATGCTGGCTCAGGGGGATTTCTTGCAAATTTCGTTGAGGAGTGAGATTTTTTCTGAATACAAATTCATGTTTATGGATGTTATGCGTTATTTCTGGGTAAAATCTCTTAATTTTGTCAGAAATATGGTTGTTTTATGTTTTCATTGCGTCCGATGAAGCTTGATTGAGGGAAATATACATGATATAATGGGGAAACAAGGGACACTGAGGAGTCCACGTCCAAAACCTCAGGATGGTAATGTTGCTTTGGGAATGAAAGATTATGAAGTTAGATGTTCAGATACGTTACAGGGAAGCGATCCTTCGATTGGGAGGAGAGTTTTAGGGGGAGGTAATCATTGGGGTTCCAAAGATGGATTGCTTCATGGGTTGAAAAATGATTCTGGGAAGGTTAGTTCTTGCAAGGGAGTTTACTTGGGGAAAAAGCATACATGGCTGCGCAGGCATGCGTGGTCAATTGCTTTTGTGTTCGCAATCTTGGGTTTCCTTTGCTTGCTTGATTCTCTAATGGTTTCCATTTCTGGTTCACTATATCTTCAGATTAGTTCAACTACAGGAAAATCAGGTGGCCATGAGGTATGATATATATATATATATATATTTGTGTATTGGCACTTAGGAGAATGTATCTCTTGTCATTGGTACTGGACTTTATCTCAGAGGTCTGGAAGATATACAGTTGAAGAATTATCAGAATTCTATTTAGAATCGGCCATTAAGTACTGATTTTATCGTCTCAGAGAGTCTGTGCTATCACAATTCACAAGTTTTAGGATGTGCTATGCAATGCACTGTACTTGAGTCTTTCATGTGCTATCACAAGTAAAGTCTTTCATGTGTTATATATGGGTAGATTTTGTAATGTTCATTGAATATTGATTTAAAATTTTTGGATGGATGCTGCATTGATACCAATTATCTTTTCTGACATATTTTGCATGTATTTGAAGGAGGACAATCCTGCCTATACTAGTGAAGACCGACCACCGGTGCAGATGTACAACAGGCTTCTAAGTTTGGCTTCCAACGCTCTTGTGGAGGTATGTTTTGACTTTTGTAATCCTTATATAGTTCTTTTTTTTCCTATGAATCTGGAAAAACTAGATGATTGAAGTTTTCCCAAGTCTCTGTTCTTCTTCAATTGTAGAAGGAGTTTAAGCAAGAAAAGTTGGGCTTCTGGGAGGAACCCTATCACCAAGCATCTAAATGGAAGCCTTGCGCAGATAGGAAAACTCCAACAAATTCAGGCAGTTAACTATTCGCTGGTCTTCCATATTCACTTTATCTTTTCGTTTTGATGGTTAGAAAGAAAAAAAGGAGCATGTAAACTTGTTCTTATAATGACAATATCCACTGTATCATATGGATGATTACAGTTTAAGGTTTGAATAACCAAAAAGCTATTGTTGTTGAATCCTTTTACATTTGTCTTTGATACAGAGAAGCCTGACAAGAACAATGGTTATATAATGGTCAGTGCAAATGGTGGCCTCAATCAACAACGAGTTGCTGTTAGTCTAAATTCCTTAGCTTCTTTCTATATAACAACATGCTTTCTATTGCCTGCAGATTTGCAATGCTGTCGCTGTGGCCAATTTAGTAGTTTAACTTATGTTGTCACCGTGGCCAGATTTGCATACTCTAATAACACCGTGGTTTCTATTGCCTGCAGATTTGCAATGCTGTCACTTTGGCATCTTTGCTTAATGCAACTCTGGTTCTACCTAGATTTCTTTACAGCAATGTGTGGAAGGATCCTAGGTCTTAGATGATATCTGATACTAGTTTTAAAATCTTCTTCTGGTTTACGTTTGCTGCTATCATTATCACTATAACAAATTTTTAAATTAAAATGCAGCCAGTTTGGTGATATATACCAAGAGGATTATTTTATGAATACCCTGAAGGAAGAAGTAGATATTGTAAAGGAGCTTCCTCCTCATTTGAAGTCAATAGATATTGAAGCCATTGGAAGTTTAGTATGTTCTCTTCTTAGTCTTGTACATTGAAGAACATGGTTTAATTCATTCCTCTGTGAAATCCTACACCTCTAATCCTGTTTTCCTTTCTCATTATTTTTGTTTCAGATAACCGATTCAGATATTGAGAAGGAGGCAAAGCCTACTGATTACCTCAGAATTGTTCTTCCTCTTCTGCTGCGAAATGGCATTGTTCACTTCCTTGGATTTGGAAACCGACTAGGCTTTGATCCATTGCCTTCTAACCTTCAGGTATGGCACATACCATGGATGTTGAATTATTACCATAGAACCAGGTGAAAACCATGAATTTGAGAACTCTAAAGAGTCAGGAAAGCATTATCCGTTAAACCGAGGTTGTTCTGTTGATAGTGAGCAATTACAGAATTTGGCAGATAGAAATTCTCTAACTAGATTCATATCAGAAGGATTACATTTAAACTCAACCATTTACATAGTACACTTATGTTGTTACTTCATTAAGATTCAGTGAGATGCTTTAGTTCATTGCAGAGATTGAGATGCAAATGTAACTTTCATGCACTAAAGTTTGTGCCTAAAATTCAGCAAGTTGGTTCATTACTGGTCAAAAGGATAAGGAAATATGGTTCTAGAAAAAGTATGCTAGATAAACAATTGCTTGGAGACTTCATGACCAAAAATCCTTCCGAAGAGGAAGATGCAGCCATTGTCAGAGGCCCCTCTAGATATCTTGCTTTACACTTGAGATTTGAAGTGGATATGGTGGCATACTCCATGTGTGACTTTGGTGGAGGAGAATATGAGGAAAAGGAACTTCAAGCCTACAGAGAAACCCATTTCCCACTGTTGATTGAGCGGTTAAAGAACACAAAGTAAGGACTTCCTAGGAAGCTTAAGTTAGTGATTTTTACTCAGGCTGTTTTCATGACCACATTTCACTTTGTTGCTCTTTAATTTAACCATTTTCACTTAGCTGATATGTTTATAATTTTGATATTTTGTAGGCCTATTTCTCCTGCAGAGTTGAGAAAGTTGGGGAGATGCCCCTTGACACCAGAAGAATCTGCCCTTGTTCTTGCTGCACTTGGTTTTAAGCGTGGAACTTACATCTATCTTGCCGGATCTCATTTATATGGAGGGAATGCCAGGATGCATCCCTTCACCAGCCTCTACCCCAATCTGGTCACCAAGGAAACACTCCTAACACCTACTGAACTTGCACCTTTTAGAAATTTCTCTTCTCAGGTAAATTTGGACGGATTCTTCTTTGCAACAGACATTTCACTGTCAGAATTGTTTCACATTTACTTAAAATTTTTTATAAATCCCCCTACAAGAAGCATCTAAACTTTCTACCTTTTTAACACACAAAAAATAAAAAAATTACCCTGGATGCAGCTGGCAGCATTGGACTTCATTGCCTGTGCAACATCAGATGTCTTTGCCATGACAGATTCTGGGAGTCAATTATCATCCCTGGTATCTGGATTCCGGACTTACCATGGTGGTGGCCATGCACCAAATTTGCGTCCTAACAAGGGGAGGCTAGCAGCAATTTTGTCTGAGAATAGCACTCTAGGATGGACTAGTTTTAAAGACAGAGTAAGAAAGATGATTGAGGAAGGTCAAAGGGTGCGTGTAAGGGGTCATGGTCGTAGCATTTATCGACAGCCAAGATCCCCAGAGTGCATGTGTAAATCTCAATAGTTTCCCATTCTCTTTGTTTGAGCTGGCCATTTAGATACAAATTCTTCAGCAAGCGCAATCAAGGTTTGTAAAGCATTTTTCCCCCCATTTTTGGTGAATATGATGCACAAATTCTTCACAATAATTTATATGCCTACAGCCTACCGCATGATGAAATAATGAATCCAGGGGAATAAATGAATTGATATAATATTGGATTAAACTCCGAAGAATCTGAGTCAAATATACATATGACCCATTAGATAGGGGGAAGAGAAAATGAAGTTGCAAATTTCTCTGATATGCTTAACACCACATGAAATTCAGCCTCATTTTTCCTCACCAGTAATGTTGTCACTTCAAGATGGTGGGAAGAAGCGGTTTAGGTTGAAGGGGAGAGTGTAGAATTCCTCATTCCGGCCGTCCCCTTTAAATGTCCGGAACTTTGCCCACCATGGCATTCCTCTATCCTTGGCTCTGGCACTGTCCTTGAGGTCAAGTGTGTTGTCCAAGAATACAGCGACAAGTAGTGCAACAGTTGGGGATGAGGAGAAGATGGTGTTAAGGAAATCATTGAACTGCATAGAAACAATACAAGTCCATGTTATGGCAATGTCAAGTTTTCTCATATCATGAAGAAAATAATTTATATCAGAAACTCACCCATCCAGCATTGGTATGAGCAGGTTCATGTAGAGCCTTGGCAGTGTATTCTCTAAAATACTCAGGAACAGAAAAACCTAAGAAGAGGGAGACACCTGTGATGAAAAGGTTTCTCATGGAGTTCATGTTTGTGAATTGCAAAAATGAGAGCCCCACAGAAGCTGAAACAAAAAAGTATTGATAATCAGCATTAGAGCAAAGAGTATAGATTGCTGGTACAAAGAAACATATTATGATACTCACCAACAAGACCAAACAAAACACAATATACAGCAGCAAATATTGTGAAGGGTATTGATGCAAACAAAGCTCCAAATTTTCCTGAAGAAATCAAGAAATTGATAAAAAAATGGAGAAAAGAAATAAACTACAGATGTTGTACAAAAAAGGAAAAAAAGGTAGTTTGACACTCACCTAACATTGAAAAGAATATCATAAAGCCAGCTGAGATTTGAATCACCCTGCGACTTCCAATACGGGTGCTTCCAAGAAGCCCCACATTTTCACTGTTTTTCGTCCTCAAATTAGCACAGTTTTGTAAAAAACAATTCATAAAGCAAGAAGTACAGATACTTACACAGAGACTGAGGAACCACTCAGTGTTCCAAACAGACCATTCAGAAGGATCCCAATACCTTGCCAGCCAATACCACGGCTAAGAACATGAGCTGGGGGTGGTGTGGCACTAGCTAGACGTGAAGCAGCCTTGTATGCAGCAGTTGACTGCAAGAGCAAACATTAGTTCTTTGATTACCATATAATATAATTTCTTATTTCCTTTATTTTCTTCTCTAGATTTTATGAGAACTACCTCAATCAAGGAGACTAACACAGCTGCCATCATTCCAAATGCATGACCAGCATCAAAGGTAGGAGCGCCCCATTGAAGAGGATATGGGATCTTTATCCTGGTTACAATAGATTTTACAATCATAGAAGTACACAGTCTAAAGATTTTGATTGAATTGAAAAACTAAAATAATTTTCATGCACAAATATATCCAATTGATAAGAACCACTAACCATGGAGCAGAAGAAATGAGGTTGGCCTTGTCAGTTCTGCAATTTCTCTGAGTTAGTTCTGGATGATGTTTGTATGCACCACTAGCTGTCAAGAGGTGCGCATATGCCCATATCACTGTGATTGATATGAGGAGAGCAAACCGCTCCAATATTGGCAAATCTCTAAATTTAAAATTTTTCAAGTACTGTTTATAACAGAAAAATGAAACATTAAATTAGATTTATCAGCAATGTTTTGAAGCTGAGCCTGTGAATAGACAAGATCAAGTACATTGTGGAACAGGCAGATAGTTAAATACCTGGGAGAAGGCAACAAATAGGATAAGCATTGGGATGCCTATCTCCACACATCGGCCAAGCTGATAATCAGTCAGGAAGCAATGTTAAACTGCATGAATATCAACAGAAGGAAATTCTCAACTAAGAATTCAACAAAGCACATCATAGTCATTATCATACCACCGGGAACCCTCTATCAAACAGGCCAAACCCCACCAGTGAAATAACTGGAACCATACCAAGAGGACTGAAGAACCTGGTTAGGCAAAAAGGTACATCATTTAGCCAATGAAAAATAAATAATGGTGAATTCTGTTTTGAGGATTTTGAGGCTTGAACTTCATCTAACATAGGAGTGGTACCTGGAACAAATGGCCCACATCTGACTGTATCCCAATATAATTTGTATGCTTGAAGCTACTATTAATGCACCTTGGACAGCTCTCATGGTATTATGAAATCTCTACATACATATATATATAAGAAAGACCATTAAATGAGTGACAACTATATTCTTTAAATTGGAAACAACATGCACCTGGCCCTTGAGGCCTAGTGGCATTAGCCACCGGTGCATTCCCCCCCGGGGGTTTGAAACCCGCCCCTTGCAAAATATGTTCAAAAAAAAAAAAAAAAATGGAAACAACATGCTAGTAAATGCCTCCACCAAAGATTTTGGTTGGTTCATGAAATTAAAGAAGGGAGGGCTATCCATTGGAAGGAGGAATTTATTTTTTATTTTAATCAACAAATAAATTTCAAGCTTTGTGCATTTTGTTGAATTATTATAGACTATGCAAGCATATACACCCAACATTTTTAATGAAAAATCATGTAGGGATTCATTGATGTGACCTGCATTTGGAAAATTGGATAAGCATTATTCCATGATGGATTTGTTTAAAAAATAAAAGTAAAGCCAAAGGCGCAAGTAGGGCACAAAAAGATTGACCTCAACTGCAGAACTAAAGACTGTTAAAAAGGATCACAGAATTGTACTAACCACTTCACTATCCTCGATCCTCGTTAGGGAAGAATCGTGAATTATTGATATAATAGGAACCATGAATGCATAGGACCCTCCAATCACGGTAGGCAATCGGGTCCCAAACAGTGTCTGTAGAAGTGTATTTATCCCTTCAACAAACAGTAGAGTCTGTACCACCCTGACTTTATCATACTGGACCATCAAATTAAGAACAAAAAAGAAAAAAAAGAAAAAAAAAGAAACAAATCAGTTATAGTAATTCATTTCATCATGTGAAATCATAAAACATAAACATGCCCCTGTTACCAATTCCAGAAAAGGGCTACAAAGGTGAGAGAATGAACGGTGAACGTTATGCTATTGTAGGGGATGAACTTCTAAACATAGATATATGCTATTTATGTGCGAGATTATATACTTGATATCAAATTGACTCACATCAGAGCCTCCCATCAAAGGAACAAGAAATGAAGGGATCATGACAGCCGTCCCTAAGGCCAGAATGTAATGCTGAAAACCCAAAGCTATAGCCTCCCCTGCTTGCAGATGCAAAAAGACACACAGAAACAGTTACAAACACATACCAGACAAAAAGAAAACGTAGAAAAAGATCAATCTAATCAATGATATGGAGATTCTGGGTTAATAGAGGACTTAAAAACAACCCACCCCATGATGGATTTGAGTCAATGCAGTACTCTAACCCCTGAAGCTGGTCCATAGGTTCGTGACTTATTTCTTCTATTTTTGGAGCTGCCATAGCTTAAGCCCTTCCAAGATTCCTCCTTTACCTCTAAAACCCAGATGGGGGTTTACCAAATGAATCAAAGAATGTAAAACCAGTGAAGAACAGAGAAAAGATAACTCGCAAAGGTGTTTCCTTGTTGGATATAAATGAATCAATGACCCAGGAACAGAAGGAACCAAAGAGATAAAGAATCAAACAAATTTTAATGAAAAGAAAAGAAGGAAAGAAAGCTTAATGGAGGATGAAAACAGAAAAGAGAATTTGAGAGAAAAGCAATGAAAAATTAGGCAGTTGATGCCCACTAAAGCTTGCTGCTTTGAGGACTTTCGCTCCCGTTTCTTCTCTCTGCTTTTGATGAGTACAATATTTATACAAAAAGTTCCGTTAACTTTTTGTATTCCGAAAATGTCCCTCAAGAAACCCGCAAACCCGAAAATGTTACCGTTGGACATCACTGTACCTAATAAATATTCACAACTCAACATGTCCACCCTTTTTAAATGCATCTGCAGATTTATTTACCCAAAAACAGGGATGGTGCAGGTATGAGGAAACAAAACATGAGGTGGAGAATAAAGAATACTATAATATATAAAAAGAAAATATTATATAATTTAAATTATATTATATTATATTGTATTTATAATTTGATAGAGGGTGAATATTTGATGTTAAAAATTGTCTCTCATTTAATATCTTTATTTATACT